CCTTTAACTTTTCTCAGGTTGTTGTTTTTCTTTTCTTTCTTAGGAGGTTCCACTCTGTTTGTTGAAACATCCCTGAGGCGACCCAAAGATAAGGAGAACAAGGATGGGTCCCTTGAAGTAACAGGGCAACTGGGAGATGTAATGAAAGAGAGCGCCAAAATAGCTTATACGTTTGCAAGAGCCTTTCTGATGCAGAAGGACCCCAGCAATGACTTTCTCGTGTCTTCCCATATCCACTTGCATGTGCCAGAGGTAAACTGATGGAGAATTCACAGAGCTTGTGTAGCAGCTAGGCTGGTTTGCTCCCCTAGACGTGAAGCTGGAAAGCACTTTGTCCGTATGTCGTGCAGAATGCCCTCTTTTGGCAGCAAAACCTAGATGAGGTTTTCCTCGGGATCCTGTGACAGCATTCTTATGAGCTGTTTCCATTCCTTTCTGCAGCAATGTGGCAAGAATACAGGGGCTTGGACAATGCTGTAAGGAATCCTGGAGTTCCCTTGTAGCTGTTGGCCCTGTTGCGCAGGTGGGGAATCCATGGCATAGAGATAAGTGATTTGCATAAAAGCTTGTACGCAGCTTCAAGGAAACCAAAGTTTAGGTCTCTGTGTTACCAGGCCTTCATAAAGGCTTCAGGTCATTTACACATAATTAAAAACACTCCTCTTGGTCTCTGTGCCATGGTTCCTAGTCCATATAATGGCAGTGATTGCATTTTTCCAGTGCTTGGGACTGAAAATAAATGCACACGGTGCTCAGAGGGGCTCGTATACTGTGTAACAGGCTTTGGGCAGGTGCTTTACTGAAAACAAAGTTTGTATTATCACCTTGCCCAAGCTTTGCTTCTGAACTCCTGCATGCTTTAACCTAGTCCACAGTCTGCTTGTTGCAGCTTGCCCTGTGTCTGTCAAGGTACTTGGTTGTTAACTGTCTGTTCGTTTCCTGGAGGAGCAGAAAACAGCAGGCATCATGTCTGCCTCTGCTCCCTCTCAAACATTCATTTCTCCTGCTCTTACCTCCAAGATCTGTTCGATTTCAGATAAATCCAGACTAGTTTAGGCCTGGATTTTTTTGGGCTTTCTAAACTGAATGATCTTCTCTACCTTGAGTGATTTTTTTTTTTTTTTTTTTTTTTTTTCCAGTATTGCCCTCAATTATTTCATGACTTTTGATGCTGTCTTCCCTTGCAATGCTGACTTCTGTTACTTGTTTCCATGGTTTGCTTAGGACAACAAAAAGCTTCAAAGCATTCATGCTCTGTTTTTTGCTCATGTTGCTTATTCAGAGTCCTGAGCCTGCTGGGCATTGTGGTGGCATCAGGCCAAAATAGACTCGTGGATTACTCCTCATGAATAAGATGAGGACCCCGTCGTTGTTAATAGATTGGCCAATTCAAATAGCAGGATTCTATCAGTGACACTTTCACAAAAACCTTTGTGAGACCCCCTGAAATTGGGGCCACGTTAAAACGGCAGTGACAAAGGTATTGTTGGGCTCTGCTACTCTTTGAATGAGCTAAAGGCAGAGGGGATTGTGCTTTTCTTTTTTTTTTTTTAAACAGGGAGCCACACCAAAGGATGGACCCAGTGCAGGGTGTACTATAGTAACAGCTTTGCTATCGCTGGCCATGAATTGCCCAGTGAGGCAGAACGTGGCCATGACTGGAGAAGTGTCATTAACTGGAAAAATTCTTCCTGTTGGTGGAATCAAGGAGAAGACTATTGCGGTAAGAGCTCTTACCTTGTCTCTGGGCATCACCTGTGGGGAGGGAGCCCTGGATTTGGCTCAGTGGCCACTGGGACAACCGGTGATTGCTCCTGTAGCGGGGGCGGCTGTGATTCAGTAGGCACTGTGGAGAAGCCTGCTGGGGGAACACAGGGTCTTGCCTGTGTCTCTGGCGGTGGAGAAGGAGATGGGACCCCAGGCTTTGTGTCAGGGCCTCTGCATTGATCTAGGTACTGGACTGGTAGAATGAGGGGTGGAAGGGATCATCTGGCTGTTAAAGCTCTCTTCTGTCACAGACTGGTAGGGTCCAATAATCTGTGCGGGGCTGAAGCGCCTGCTTAAGGAGGGCATCCAGCATAGATCTGACGGTATCCATAAGGTATCCTCCTTAACGTTAAGGCTCTGTTCCTACTTCCAGCTTGAATTTGTCCAACTTAAAATTTTACACAGATATCCCTATGTTTTTCAGTTTTAGGTGGAAGGAACTTTTAGTGTCTTGCATTTTCCCCTGTATAATTCTCTGCAGCACTCTTGCAAGCACTGGATTTGTAGTGGTGCTTGCTTTTTTGGCTTCAACCCTTTGCAGTTTTCGGAATTCTTTCTCCAGGCATTGTATCTCTCCATACTTTTCATTTGCACAGCTCCTGCCTGCGTCAGCCTTGCATCACATGTGTTTTTCTGTCTTCGAGAACAGTTTTAGCTCTTTGGTAGCCTGTTGAGCTAGGGCTTCACATCAGTGTTCTGCCCCCAGATCTGTTTGGGCCACAGTCTCATGCAATGTGATTCCTTTTCCTCGTGTGGCTTTAAAATGGGTGATTTCACGTTATATTTTGTGGTAGTCATTACAGGACTAGCATACGATAGGGCTGTCTCTGGCACTGATGACTGGCTGCACTTGCAGGAGCGCGAGTGCCCACGCAGGGGCAGGATCACCCATGGAGTGAGCGGGCTCTGCTTGCTGGGCTCCTTCCAGTGCAGGTGGCCATGGCAAGAGCTTCTGTGGAACAGTGCTACGGTCATGTGTATCGACGTGGTGGGTTGATCTGATAAGCTGCCTCAATTCTTCCTTTGATTCGAGGGTTTATCCTCACTCGAGTTGGAACAGACTTTTAGAACTCTGTAAAATAGAATGACTTGGTCTAAACAATCCCCCAATGTGCCGACACAGTCCCACTAAAATGCCTCTCCCCTTCAGCTGTCCCTGCAGGGACTGGAGCGTGTGTCTGGGGGCTTGGGGAGAGCTAGAACATGATCCATCCTTAGTGACAACCACTAAGCAATGCCTTGGTGCTCTCCAAAGAAGAGAGTAAAGCCCGGTCATGTTCCTAAGTAACTGTTCTTGCTTTCAAAACTGGGAAATGGATGCATTTCTGGGGCTCAGCAGGCTGCATGTGTTCCTTTTCCCCACAGGCAAAGAGGGCAGGCGTTACCTGCATCATTCTGCCATCAGAGAATAAAAAGGATTACTATGACCTTGCTGGATTCATTACAGAAGGACTAGAAGTGCATTTTGTGGAGCACTACAACGAGGTATTTGATATAGCATTTTCAAAGCTGGATTCTGCTGGAGGATGATGGTCAACAACCCCATGGCCGGATGGCGGTCTGTCCCTTACTGCTCAGCCCCCACCCCAAAATGGGGTGACTGGGGGCGATCCTGAAGTGGGATTGAGGAGCTATTGCTGCTGCGCAGCTGCTGAAATGAATTATGGCTTTGGTAGGATAAAGTATTTCTCACTCTTCGATATTGAATTATGATTCATGTTAAGTATTTCCAATAAAATTGTGAAATTTTACCTAAAGGACATGTATGTTGCCAGCCACCAGCAGCGGAGTTAGTCTTCTCTCTTCTAATCAAGTGATTTTCAGTTCTTTCCTTGTAATTCTGAATACCTGCTTGTGGAAACTTTAACTCTACAACCTGAGCTGGGGCTGTGATTCACATCTTTGTCCTGGTGGTTCAGTAGCTCTCAGAAACCTCTCCTCAGGCTGGAGGGGAAACAGTGAAATTCTTCTGGGCTGCTTCAGCAGAGGTTGAGCGTTTGGTTGCAGAGGCACACGATTCCCCTCCAGTTTACATCACAGGTCACTACCCTCAGAAACAGCTCCAGGCTTAAAGCACAAACCTGGACAGAAGAGCAATGTGCTCCGTAGCGGCAGTCGGCACGGCGTGCCACCCCAGCCCTATTCTGTTCACTGAGGGAAAACAGGAATTAAATGTAGCATGACTACAACCCTGCACTTGGGCCAGAGAATGGTGAATGCTAGAAAACTACACTTCCCCTATTTAAATTCAGGGTATGTGAAATCTAGTTGAAACATATTTCTTTGTGCAGGAAACAGCACTTGTCCTGTCTCACAGTGAGGTAGCCCGTAGTGGAGGGGAAGAAAAAAAAAAAAGAATCATCCTGCTGGAATTCAGGGAGCTCTTACCAACTGCAACTGACTTCATACAGAAAATCATTTGGCTTGAAAAAGACCTTTAAGATCATTGAGCCCAACTGTACCATGTGCCTCAGCACCGCCTCTGCCCGGCTGTTAAATCCCCCCAGGGCTGGGGACTCGACCCCTTCCCTGGGCAGCCCCTTCCAGCCCCTGACAGCCCCAAGGGGAAGGAATTGTTCCCCATGCCCAACCTCACCCTGCCCTGGCACAACTTGAGGCCGGTGCCCCTCGTCCCAGCGCCCCTTCCCTGGGAGCAGAGCCCGACCCCCCCGGCTCCCCCCTCCTCTCAGGCAGTTGTAGGCAGCGATGAGGGCTCCCCTCAGCCTCCTCTGCTCCAGACTGAACCCCCCCAGCTCCCCCAGCCGCTCCTCACAGGACTTGGGCTCCATCTGATGGATGCACAGACTGCAGAAAGCAGGGTGTCAATGGAAGGTACAAGGGGAAATGCATGAGTACAAAAGGCTGCACAAGGTTGAAGCGCCCTGGGGAAAGGGCACAAAGTCATTGCCATTTTCAACAGCAATTTTTGTCCACTGACCTCTCTCCTACGACCGTCTAGGTCTGGAGACAGAGGGGGAGATGGAAGGTATTACAGCCCCCACAGGCTTGGCTACTGCAGAGGCTTCCACGGCCCGAGAAGGGCTCCGTGAGGAAGTTTCCCCCCTCTAGAACATATCACAGCCAGGACCAGCAACTCCAGTATCAGCATCTCCAGCTGCAGGTAAAATGGAACAGCGATGCAAGTTCTGGATTGCTGCAGTTCAGGGCCTCGGCAGCACAGCCCCCAGGAGCACCCCGTTCCCAGACTGAGGCGGGTAACGCCATCAGCAGTCACGACGCTGTTTTTGTGAGAAAGGACTTTATTGAGTTACAGACTGTGCACCTCAATCCTTCTTTGCAGCAGCTTTCCTCATGGCTGCCAGGACGTTACTGAGTTCTTCCCGCTTTCGCTTGGCCCGAATGTGAGTGCCAACCTGCAGGGGAGAGAGCAGCGCAGTCAGCATCCATCCCGGCAGAGAACAGGTCACGCTTCCTGGCTGCTTCAGGCACTCACCGAGGACACTTTACTCGAAGCAGGCAAGATGGACGAGACCTGGTAAACACAGACTCGAACCCCATCCACCTCCCCTGGCCAGCCAGGAGCTACTTGGCCATCACATCTCAGTAGCGCTTCCACTCACGAATTCTCAGGCGAGGCAGAGGCTGCACTCAGCTCTCACGGCTGCCCTCAGTGAACCCCATTTCACACCCCCTCTGCGACTGTTGCTCTCCTCCACCCCGCACCACATTTGCAAGTAACACAAGAACAGTGGGGCCAGTCTGGCCTGGCGTAGCTCAGGGCCCTTCTGGCAAAGCACCTTTACATCCACCTCCCACTCTCCCACCAGAAGCACTCCCTCCTCTCCCTCAGATTAGACCAGCAACTCCCCAGACAACTGAAAAAATAAGATAATTAAAACCCAAACTATCCGAAGGAAAAGGCAGAAAACAGTTCACTACAGCAGAGCTTTTGCCACCCTCCTTACAGTCTCGGATTGACCTACCCGTTTCTTTATGAACTTTAGAGCGCGTTTGTCTTTGGAAACTTTCAGCAATTCCATAGCGCGTCTCTCGTAGGGTGCAAAGCCACAGACTTCCCTGATCATGTCTCGCACAAACTTGGTGTGTTTGGTCAGGCGCTACGGGAAGGAGAGGGAATACATGGATCACAGTGAATATAAGCACGAATTTACCCAGACTGGACCGCAAGGGGTTGCGGCAAACTCTGGGCTAAGGCCTCAAACCCAGCTTATGCTGGTAGCACATCTCAAGGAATTACAATCCCTGGCAGGTGCGGAGCAGCGTGGAGCAGCACGGCGATCTCTTGTCAGTCGTGCCAGACTCTTTGCGTCACAGTTTGGGCATTTTGTGCATCTGCGTGCACCAACATTTTTGAAAAAGCAGGACCGTCGGATATCCAGGGCGTGCAGGACTACACATCTCAAACGCCACAATTAAACACAGCACTTAATGCAAGTGGGATACGAGACGCAAACTGAATTAATCTCCCGTGTTAACACACACATTCACTGAACCTGGATAACTCCCAGTATCTGTCACTGCTGAGCAGTTTTATGGGGTAGACGAGAGAAGCAGACCAGGAGGGACTTCAGAAGTCCCCCAGCCAGTTCTCTACTTCGCTGCCAATTGGATTTACGCTGTGGCTGAAACGCCTCTGCCTTACTCTTCCGTTACAGACTGCTCCATAACAGCAACTTCACACCCACCTTTGCAGGTTTAATACCTGCCACGATTTAAGCCCCCGCTCCGTGTGTAGCACCACCAGCTCTCAACCCTCACAACGCTCTGCTCTCCTGCAGGTTTTCTGCTGGTCCCAGTCGCTGCAGCCCGGGGCCAGCCGGCACCC